CCCCTCAGGCATCGTGCCCCCCGGATCACTCGCGCTTGATGCTGCATGGCCAGACCGACCCCCTTCTTCCTTGCCTTTGAAATTACGCCGCACAAACGTTGAACACCTCTGTGTCATGTTGTTTCTACCGTCTTTTTGAGGTGCTACTTGTAGTACGTTCACTGGCTTCCGAGAACTGCTCACACGCCGTAAGCAACTTAGCTGCCATGTGCCAGAGATGCTCAATTGCTATGTGCCATCGCAGCTTACGTCTGACGGAATGCGCATCGAATGGTAACATGCAGGTGCGAGGGTACTGCGCGGACGAGTCCAACCCGGAAGTTTTCGACCGCGTCAACGTTAGGGGAGACATCCGCTTCTCGGACATACACCACAACTGGTTCGGACAGTGAGTACTTTGGGCTTGTTGTTTTAGTTATTATGGATTTTGTGTACTCCCGCTTGGCAGCGGTGGAGCCCAAGAACTGTGTTTTACATGTGCGTGGCCGATTTGGAAGGGTCAGAAACTGTGACGGAGACCAGAGGCGCAACAGTCGCCTCGGAATACAGCTTGCCGTGTGCAGAATTCACTCATATGTACCGGTACATGATCAGTCTTGCCCCGGTGAAGAACGCAACGTTCAGTGGTGTGTGATATTGCTGGTGCCAACTTGATCGTGGTCGTACGCGCTCCGTTCTCGTCGTCCGCCAAATGGCTTCCCTTCATATTGGTGCTTGTCGGGCGGCGGGATCGAAACAAAACACGCCATTTCACACGTTACCGTTTCACACGTGACCGTTTCACACGTGACCGTTTCTATATCTATATCTTTATCTATTTATTTTCAGGTACTCGTACGGACACCAAGATGGGCTGTGGGAATACAACACCATGCGCAACTCCGGGTGAGAAAGTAATTGCTTTTTGGGGGGTCATCCGGCAGTTGTCGAAGCCGAGGCCAACGTCGCTTTTTTGGGGTCATGAAGTGGCGAGAAAAGCTCAACCTTGCAAACTTGTCTCGCAACTTTAACTTGTCTCGTGCAAACCTTTTATGGGAGCACAAAGTCGCGCCAAAAGTTTGCGAAAAGTTTGGACTCTCGCTGTTGATTATTATCGCGCGACGTGGAGCAAGAGTTTGCAAACTTTCCTCGCGACAAGAGACAAGAGTGTGTCCAACAGATGTTGCGCGGCGAGATTTGCGCCAAACCCGTCAAGGGCATGTCCCGACCACACCCGTAAACCTCTCCCACCGCACACACATTCGAGATCCATGCGATAGATGAACGTCCGTCCAAGTCAGAACATGTGAACAACGAGTCGGAACTGCCTGCGATGGCCGCAGCTGTGTATCCTACGTAGACACGACGAAGCACTTACACTTGTAGAGTCTGCTTGAACAATCTGCGTTGGATGTGAGGATGATGGAGGTCTTCCTGGATTCGATTGGAAGGCACAACGCCAGGTTTCGTGCCACCCATTCGTTTTCCAAGCTGTTGTTGTGTGCATGGCCGGTTTTGCGTTGTTGTGTGAAGGGGTCGGTTTTGCGTTGTTGTGTGAAGGGGTCGGTTTTGCGTTGTTGTGTGCATGGCCGGTTTTGCGTTGTTGTGTGCATGGCCGGTTTTGCGTTGTTGTGTGAAGGGGTCGGCCCGCTTCTCGCCTTTTCTCAATAAAACAACAAAACGGTCACGGCTCCGCATTCCACCAGTCCCGTGAAAAAAAAAAAGAAAAATTCTTTTCTCGCCCCACGGTAGTGAGCGTTACGTGAAAGTGCACCACGAGTTGCCAAAAATAACTCTGAACTTTTCTCGCAACTTTGTTTCTCCCATAAAAAGCGGTGTGAGAGGGTTACAGAACTCTTCCTTTGTCTCGTCACCTGCAACCTTGTATATACCTCCGACCTTCCGTAGAGTGAATGAAAAGGCCACGAGAGTTCGGAACAAACGGGTTCATGCATGAGGGTTTCGAGGCATGCTATGAAGGGGGCGGAGGGGGGGGCCGGGCGGGGTTGTCCGTGGTATTCCCACCCCTCTTTGGTAGTTAAAGTAGATACCGTATACAAATATTTGTGTTGGATCAAAAGCCTACTGGATATCTTCGTTGAATGTTTGCAGATAAACAAAAAAATTAGCAACGAACACGCCTGCACCGCTTAGCGATTATGGAGTCTCTTATGCCTCCATATTTGCCTGTATTTTCTGTCTCTCCCCCCTTCTTCGCTTCTCTCTCTGCTTCCCTTTAGCGCTTCCTCTCAAATCCTATCGCCCTTTTTGTCCTTGTTGTGAACTCGATCCGCGTACATTGGATCGAAACAAAACCAAACGCACCGATTTGTCGCTCTCAGGTACTACGGCTTCGATCCGCACGACGACTCGGACAACTTGCGGTGAGTTGGTGCACAGGAGTAGTCCCCTGGCTTCCCTCCGTTGCCTGTGTTTCGTGCAATCCCTTCGATGTCGCACCATCGTAAGAGAAAACCCCGCCCCGCCACCACCCTTCCTCGCCAGGCGGTAAATACTCTTGAGGCAATAATGTGCAGCAGCCACTCTTAGGCTGAGACGGATGGCATACACGTCATACACGAATCACACACGGTTATGATTTTTTTTTTTTTTGCCAAAGTGTTTTGCCGGGTGGTGTGTTCCTGTGTGCAACACTGTACTGAACATGGGCATGTTACCCCTCCCAATCCCTCCGCCGACGCGTCCATTCTCCGCTGTCTGAATACGATTCAGCATCCACAACAACATCGTGTACGAAAACGGTGAGAGGTCCATGTATTTTGGGACGGTTTCGTTGCTGCTTGGTACTTCATCGGAACTGCCGTGGAGGCCAACACTATTATAGAGCATGTTGGTATGTCGGTTGTTGACAGTTGATGGATTTTTTTTTTTTTTTCTGTCCATTCCTCTCATCGCTTCATTATCTCAGGCCAGGGTCACGCGTTTTGTGTTTTCGTTTTATTCACGGCCGTTGGAATTTCTCTTGCCTGGTTGTTATGCCGGCATATACAACTGTCACACGAGGTATGTGCCTGCCCCCAATCACAGATATTGTGTCTACGGTTGTATAGTCTAGTGCTGGTGTATTTTTTGTCTTGCAGTTGTGTTGCTTATCCTTTTTTACGGTTCTGCTCTTTTGCTGCTGCAGGCAACCACGGTATCATCGCGTCGAAGAGGTGCAACGACGTGTCCATCCAGAACAACGTGGTGTATGACAACGCCCTCCACGGCATCATGCTCCATCGCTCCTCGGACGACGGCATCATCAGGAACAACACCGTCTCCGGCTCCGGTAGCGCTTGCATCGCCATCTTCGAGTCCTTCGGTAGGTTGTGTTGGTGCTGTTTTGTAGCTATCAGGTCTAGTCTTGGTCGCAGCGCTTATCTTGATCACAACGCTTCTACCTCTTGTCCACATGATTTTGGCTCTCGTTTTCTTTTTTGCGGGTTTGGCTTCATTTTTCATGTGCCCTCCGCGCGCCTTCTTCCGGATTGTCCTCTCTTGTCGTGGCTGATTTTGGTTACATTGCCTTTGTCATAAGTGACGGTGAATATCAGACCCCCTTGTGCCGAGTTTCCTTTGCTCGATTGCCGTGGAACAGGAGAGGAAAAAACGTCGTGTTCCGAAAAGGCGCGGATTATGAAAGTTCTCACCGAGCGCGTGTTGTCGACGTTGGCAAGGTGTTGTGTCTGTCGTTCCCTCCGCCTTAAAGTCCTCTGTCTTTGTCGCCGCCAGGCGTTTTTGATATTTCCGCCGACAAATGTTGTGGCCGCCTTTCGCTGGTCTCCGTTGGTCTGCCTGGTCTGTCTGTCTCTCACTCTCTGGCTCTCCCTCCATCTCGCCTGTCTGTCTGTCTGTCTGTCTGCCTGTCTGTCTGTCTGTCTCTGCCTCTGCCTCTGCCTCGGTCTCTGTCTCTGCTGGTTTTGCCCTTGTTCTTGCGTTTGACAGGCATCGAGATCAGCGACAACGTCTGCACGGACAACGAAGAGGGCATCCGGTTGTCCTTGGGGTCGTCCTACAACAAGATCTTCGACAACCAAGTCATCGACACTGCTGGCCGTGAGTTATTGCCACAATATCATGCCTTATTATTCATACTTGTCTTACGCCAGCCTTACATCACACCCAAAAAAGATTCCAAACACATGGCGCCAGCAGAGTACCACCCCTTGTGATTATGTCTTTGCGGCTCAACATAAGCCGCCCAAAACGGAACCACGCAAATACGCACACCGAAGATACCAAATTGAGGTAAGAGCACTTATTGGCCGAAGGAAAAATACGTCCGAAATACCGCTCGGCGCGCCGCCTTGCAGCAGAGGGCAAGGAGTCCCGTGACATATGCCCGCCCACCCGCCCGCCTCCTCCGTTTCCTTTCCTGTCATGTCGTCCGGCACGGCTGCCAGTTCGCTCTGTAACCCATACCAGACAGCCTCAAACGTCTAGATCTCCCCCCTCCCCCTCAAAAATTTTCCGAATTGATTCTCGGTTACGTTCCAAATTAAGTGCAATCAGAGGAAATAGAACAGGGAGGGGATACGCAGACCCTAATTAACTAACCCTAACCCTAACCCAACTTCCCCGATTACATTCTTCATCCGACATGTTTGCTGAAAAGACAAACCTGCGAAAGCTACCTTTCCAGAATAATCTGGCTATGTATGTCAGGCTTCTGATGAGATCACTGCCTTCTCCATCACGGACTCATGCCCCCTCCCCCCCCGACGTGCATTTTTTTGTTCGCGGTGCAAGGTCCCAATGTGGCGATACCGGACGTCCCAAGAGACCACTGCCTTCTCCGCCATGGACTCATGACCCCCCCCCCCTCTCCCCTGGACTTCCATTTTCACGTTCCAGGACCAATCTGGCTGTACCTGTGGTCGGATAAGAACTGCCTCCTCACTCTTCCCCCCCCCCCCCCCCCCCCCCCCCCCCCCCCCCCCCCCCCCNGGCTGTACGTGGGGTCAGACGAGATTATCGCCTCCGCCGCTACCGACGGTATGTGCACGGGCAACCTCTTCCAGAATAACTACCTGGACGGGGCCTCAATCGGCGTAAGGTTTGCCGAGACCCGCGACACTATGGTGATCGGGAATACCATGGTCGCCCTCGGAGGATCTCTCATCGATGACTCTGACGGGCTAGTGTGGTCGGTGAGAGCGAGTTTTTTTTTCTGAATGTGTGTGTCTTGTATTCTGCTGGTTGTACTGGTACGTAGATTGTTGGAAACAACCCGCCCGACGACCTGTGGATGAGCGAGGGCGTGTGCTCCTTGGGCGAAGAAGCAGCGAGGCAAGAGTGTGGTGGGTGAGAAGAGGACAGTTTTTGTGCTTTATCTCATGCGTGGAGGTGAAAGTATCGTATGCATAGGTGTCGTAGTACACCACCCCGGATTCTCGAAGCTCGATTACTCCACGACGAGGAGGATGTACACATCAATCGATACATTTTGGGAGAGCTCTCCCTCGACCATGCGGTGCCAACGCCGCCATTGACGGCACGACCACTATTTCTGCCTTGGAGTATTGTAGTCGAGCTTTAAAGATCGATCCAGGGGGTGTGATATCTCACGTCATGTCATATTTAGTAAGGTAGAGTGAGTAGTTGCCTGAGGGAAGTGTCTCACCAGTGTCGGGGTGTAGTTGGAGAATGACTCTTGTTGTGATTTTTCTGGTGTTGGGAGTGTTTTGCGAAGGGGTCGTCGGGACGACAGGAGGACGAACGAGTGGGAGGGGTCGACATCAACAAGTTGCCACAGGATGCCGAGTGTTGGTCTACGCCCGTGTTTTGCGAATGTATCAATGCGACCGGAGGGGTCGGACGCGCATGCGTTGGAAGGTGTTTACACATGACCTGTGGACGTTTTTTTTTTCTTTCTGTTTTCCTTGTATGTTTGTGTAAATGTTTTTGTATTTTCTGCTATCATGTACATGGAAGTATGTCTTGTGTGGTGTGTGTTGCTTCGTTACCCCGTTTCAAGCTGTCAGTAGGCCAGAGGTGGTGGGATCTTAAGATTTCGTAGTGTCCCGCCCTGTCCTTCCTTCTCTGTGCTGTTCACCTCCCATCGCACACCTTTGAACCTGTGTGAATTTCGATCTCATCCTGCACACCACGTTGAACAGAGCGTCTCCCCCTTCTCTCGTCTCCTTTTGCCCCCCTCAAACTTGTCGATTCGCCTTCCAACACTCCCCCATTGGAAAAGAGCTCTGTGCATGTTTTTTTTTTGTTTTCTTGACACGATACAACGCACCCATCTCTATCAATAGAAAAGAGCATAAGATTGATGAGCGATGAATCCATTTCGTCAGCGGAAGCTACTTGTATTTCCACGATTTCCCGAGCACCATGCAGCGATATCTCCCCTGTGGGTATGCTAGCATGTTTCCGTTTGTGGTCTACAGCTGGATGAACACCCTCCCCCAACAAACGTCCTGCACCTTATCTCCAGGACAATGAAGTGGACGATGACTTCGAGATCGGAATCGAAAGTACTTGCGTTTCGTCGGAGAGCGACTTTGACCAGATCAGTGCCGGCGGCGCGAATCCTTCGGAGTGCTGATCGCTGATTGGTTGAGGGCCCACGGCCGCTTGACATGGGAAGCAATATTGTTCGTGTGGCCATCGCTGATTGGCTGGCGAAAGTATCGCAGCGCGGTCGGTCACTGCAAGAAATACTGCCGAATGTGATAGGCTACGTTCCTGCCAAATGTGATACGAACACTTGTGCCTGTCGCTGGTGGAAGGTTTGGGCCTGTGGGCGGCGGGCAAGGCACCACACTATGCGTTGATGAAGTTTTTCGGCAGCTTGTTTGTTGTTCTTAGGCGCGACGTTGCTGATGTCTCGCTGGAGTTGCGTGTGTGGTTGGGTCGGCCCTTGCTTGGCTGTCTCGCAGTGTGTCCAAGGCTGCAAGTTCCCAGAGTGATGCATTAAGCCCTTGGCGTAAAGTGGTAATACTCCCTGTCAGACAGTGTATGGTGCTGTACGAGAGGACGAGAAGAAGCTGCGTTCCTTAGCAAGCTGCAGCTGGCGTGTTACTACCGCTGTTAACCCTTGGATATTTCCTGTTGTTCTTCTCGTTTGCCGCGGAACACCCCCGCTCCCCGATGGACCCGGACACAACCGAACAGCCCACGCAAACATCCATCCCACCTTGATTGGACCTATATCCACCGCTTCTCTTTTGTCCTGAGTGGAGAAGATTTTAGGGGGATGTTGGTCCGTCCTTTCGCGACCGGCGGGGTTTGTTTCCGGGGCTAAGTCCCGGGCCTGTGCGTCGTTGTTTGTTCTCCCGGCTTGGTGGCGGCATTTTCGTGGGGTCTTGCGTTGTTGTTTGTTCTTCCGACTTTTGACGTATTTTGCTTGAGGTTCTTGAACCATTAATTGTTCTGAATTTCGATACATTCCCTGACCTTGAATCGTTATTTGTTCTGTTCTTGACCTCTGACTTGTGAATCATGTTAGCGTGTGATAAAGCGTAACTGTTTGTGTCTTGTGCGGGGTGTGTTGATAAGAGGAAATGCTGGATATTGTTCAAAGCCGATGCTTCGATGTGTGGAGAGCGCAGCTCACAGCGAGACTATCGCAGGGAAGCAAGCAGCGTCGGCAATCTCGGGTTTCTTGAGCCGTTGAGGTCTCTTGTCTCTAGGCCGTGCGCAATAAGAAATCAACACAGGACGGGGGCGAAGGTTAGGGTCAGGGTTAGGTTATTGGAGCCGCAGAGAGTTTTTTTTTCCAATCGATGCAGGAGGGGGGGGGGGGGGGGGGGG